AAATAGCGACCTGTCACCTAGTTAATCTATTTTTACCTCCATAGAAAATGGAGGTATTGTTTTTGGCGTGTCTGTCTGTATATCTGTGTGTGTGTGTGTGTGTCTGTCTGTGTGTGTTTCCGCAACTTTGTAGTCAGCATAACTTCAGAACGCCTTTATGGATTGTGCTGATATTTGGTATGATGGTAAGTCTTGGAAAGACAAAGGTCAAGGTCAAGAATGGGCCCCTGGTGGATGACCTTGGTATTGCAGCAGAACTTCCGGTTTTTGTATCTTTTGTCCTGAACATGCTATGGTCTTGACATTTTAGTGACAGATAGCTTATTCTGTCAGGAATAAGTGGTGTAAGTTTGGTCCCCCTAGCAGCTTGTTCTGAAACTGCAGGTTAGTTTCTGGTAAAAACTTTCAAAGCCAATAAGTCCAGATTGGAACAACGTATTTTCATCATTTTTGGTGTGTAGGTACCTGAGAGAGAGTTGTACATGATTAAATGCTAATTATGAAAATGAGGACTTAATTTGCATAATCAATGAGGAAATTGTATAATTACAGTGTTTTATATAATGGTACTGCTATACATGTAATCTATTTCATCTGTGGCAGGCGGAACATCAACAGATACCAATTATGCAAATGATGACCTAATTTGCATAATTAATGTGAAAATTCTGTGAATCCTTATTGGCCCATATTTCATCATCATCATCATCATCTATCGGCTAACAGCCGGGACTAAGCTAGTGCAGATTTCTTTCCATACAGCCCTATCAAGCATTACATTTTCTAAGTCATCAAAGTCGATTCCAGTGTCTCTAACTAAGGTATCGGTGAATGTCAAACTTCTGGAGTGCACTCGTCCACGTGGTTTCCACATGAGTACAGATGAAACAATTTCTTGCTTGGCTCGGAGACAATGTCCAGCGAACATAACTCGACGGTGGGTGAGTTTTTGAGACAGTCTTGGGAGTCCTCCATAAATTTTTTCGAGAGTGGCATGTTGCCTCCAAGATATATTCTGTGCCCTCCGCAAGAGTTTTGTATAAGTCCCGTCCAATCGTTTTTGAAGCTGACAGGTAAGTGTCCAACTTTCTGCACCGTAAAGCAGTATCGGTTCTACAAGGGTAAGAAAAACTTGGACTTTCAATTTGTTAGGGATATTAGACTTCCAGATCTTATCCAATTTGTTGCATGCTTCCCATGCTAGGGCTTTTCTAGTTTCAAAATCTTTCCTTGGGCACATAATGAAGGAACCAAGGTATTTAAAGTTTTCTACTTTTGTAATGAGTGCCCCGGACAATGATCTCAGTTCTAATGGTCCAGAAATGTTACTGATGTATTCAGTTTTTGATTCATTACAAAAAAGCCCCACAAGGGATGCAGCTTCTTCTAGGGATTGAAGCAATGTTTCTGCATTTTTAATCAGTTCAGCAACCAGCGCAAGGTCGTCTGCAAAGTCCAAATCAGTGAGATATTGGGCAGGGTGCCTTCGACTCCTGCGCGGTTGGATTTCTATGCCCTTGTCTTCATTTACGTCTAGCGATATTCGTAATACATAATCAAGTACAATGATAAATAAATATGGTGCTAAAGTATCACCCTGGAGAACTCCAGTAACTATCTCAAATGAACTAGTCTCACCGTCAGGTGTGATCACTGAAGCTATAGTATCTCTATACAGGGCCTTGATTGCTTGTATAAAACAATATGGAATACCGTACATTGCTAGAATTTCAAACATCACATCTCTATCGATGGAATCGAACGCCTTACGGAAATCGACAAACAGCAATACAAAATCCCTATTACATCTCTTCAACTCTTCGATTATTCGCCGTATTGCAAGAATCTGTGAAATTGTTGACCTCCCTTTTCTAAAACCATTTTGGTTCCTCCTAAGAACAGGGTCTATTACAGGGGTTAGGCGATTAAGTAAAAGTTTGTTGTATATTTTTGCAGCAATAGGAGTAAGTGTAATCCCTCTATAGTTGGAGGCAGATGTTAGGTCGCCTTTTTTGGGAATGGGAACAATTCCTCCTTTTAACCTGGATGATGGTGGTCTATGATACATAAAGGTTTGGTTACACAGATACAAAAGAAGGTCCTTGAAAACTGGGTCTTTCCAAATGATGGCAGGTATATTATCTAACCCTGGGGATTTGTTGTCATGCAGAGATCTCAGAATCAACTCAAGTTCACTTGGGGTGAAGGCATCTGTTACTATGTCCAGATCTTCCACAACGGGTGACATCTTAAGTTGCTTCGCAGATGGAGTCCTCGTAGATGAACCCAGGAGGGATTTGAAGTGTGCAAGCCAGTTGTCTTTCCTCTCTTCAGGAGAACCCCCCTTTAATTTGACTGTTGGTTTGGATTTCCGACCAGTTAGTTCGTTGATAGTTTCCAGGCAGCATCATGTTGTTTCGTGACATGAAGATGAGCAATGCGATCTATCTTTTCTTGGATGACTTCTGCTTCAGCCTTTGCGTAGGCATCATCCAAGTGTTTTTGGGCTTCAGTTAAATTTTTGTAGCTGGATCTAGTAGCTCTGTTCTCCCAAACTTGCTTTGCTGTGAGTAATTCTTTACGTGCTTTAGTAACCAGAATATGAGAGTTCAAGGGTGATGGTTTGGTTTTCTTTTTCTTCGGTAATGTGGAGAGAGCTACTTTTTCTGTAGCCTCTATCAAATTATTATAAGTTGTTTCGATGTCATCAGAGGGATCTGCAAGAGTGTCGAATTGGTCTTTCACTTCAGCTGCAAAGCGCTGTTTCAAGGTGGGGTTCTTTGTTACTGCACTCCAGTCCACCTTCTTCATAGGGCTTAAAAGAGATGACTTCTTAGAAGCCCTGAGACTAAGGTAGGCTATGCAGGATACTATGCGATGGTCGGATCCAACACTGGAGAAAGACGAAAAAGCCCGACAGTCTCTGATGCTGTTCCTCCATTTCTTACGAGACAAGATATAATCAATTTGTGACCGATACCCAGCGGGGTGTTGGTGAGTCCATAATTTACCCTGGGGTTTCATAAATTTAGTGTTACATATCATTAAACCAGATTCATCTGCAAAGTCAAGCAGCTTTTGCCCATTTCTGTTGGTCTTGCTGTTATAAGTAAAGGTGGTGTTTTCTTTTCCAATCTGTCCATTGAAGTCCCCTGCAACAAGTAAAAAGTTGTGTCCATATTTCATGGAGGTATGAGATCTCTGAACTCTTGTTTTGTTTGCTTTTTAAACTTGAAAAACGCAAGACTGACCTTGTCTCAATCGTCAACATTTTGATTTTTTACGGTTTACATTTCTTCCTCTATTGTTTTCTTGTTCATCAGAACTAGCTGGACAAATTGATTGCACCAATGTACCTTGCTGTTAATAGTTTGTCTTTCTCTCCATTTCTTTTTGAACGAAATCTTCATCATTGTTCGATCAGGTATGATTCTTGTGCATGTTCCCCCACCACATCCTAGCGGTTCTAAGCAGAACTGCCTTGCCGTACAAGACCGGCTATACGGGATAGAGCGGGCTGGACGTTGGGCTCTTCATCGAAAAAGAAGCCGTTACAACATACACGTACCCTCACACCAAGCTTTATTGAATATCGTAAACGTGTTGATACAACTGAAATGCGTTGATGATCTAAAAAACGCGAAAATAGAACACAATTAAAGTTACAAACAGAATTTAAAACAGAAAAAGACTGAACAGGAAATTCTATGAATCTGCTTTGTTCGATAATAGAACTATGAAACACTTGTGACATCTACTTGAGAACGAGAAAAACATCTGAGGATATAGATCATGTAAATGAGCACCTAATTTGCATAATTAATGGCAACTTTTTATAATTCCATAGTTGTTACTGCTGCACCCCGAATTTCATACTTGCCACATTTGGAAGTTAAGTAAAGGTGAACATCAATAAACATAATCTATTCAAATCATTGCCTCATTTGCATAATTTATGAGGAAGTGCTATAATAGCCTTTTTGTTATGATAAGGCTCTCATTGGATGGAGAATATGATCAACTGACATAATCCATGCAAATGAGGCTCTTATGTACAAAATCAATGATTAAAATTGTATAATTCGTCACCCGCAAGGGTTAACATCATTTGGCGAAGGTATGAGGTCGTGTTGGTGTTATTATTCATAACATCCACGTTATAACCAATTCATGGAACCAAAATACATTTGTATTAGATCAGTGCGAATCAAACTAGGCCACAAACTCCGAGACCATGTCCCCGTTAACATCTTGCGAGCAGAGGCAGGGATAGACCCTGTGCGTAAACGGGCAGAAGTAGCTTCTCTTGTCTCTGTCTTTAAGGCAGTCCGTGGATGTGCGCCTGTGTACATGACATCGTTGTTCAAATGGGAATCTCCACCAACACTGAGTGTACGCACTACTCGGTCAGAGTTAAAACGGCTACGGGACTATGACCCCCACCTACTCTCCTACCCCCCAGCAAGAGTCACTTCATACAGGAACAGCTTACAGTACTATGGACCTTACCTCTGGAACTCACTCCCCCTACAACAACGACAGCAGCTCAGTCTCAGAACTTTTAAACAGTTTTTATCGAATTGTATTTAAGATTAGTTTTATCTATGTGCTATTTTTAGACTTTGTATGTATTGTGAATCTGTTTAACTGTTAGGTGTTTGTCTGTGCTTTTGTACCAGGATTTCCTGAAAAACAGGCCAGAGTGGCCTGAGTGTGATACCTGGGTGAACAGATAAAGTTGAAAGTTGAAAATATATGAGGTCAATATATACGAATACAGTATATCTATTGAGAGAAATTGCAATTCATTATATGCTTGTAAAAACGGTAAGATTTTATTACATCATTGCCTTGTATTGTCTTATTGAAACCAGCACGGTTCCATTTTCAACTAATGTCTGTGAATCATCTTATATATATATATATACATACATATGTGTGTGTGTATGCATGTGTGTGTGTGTGTGTGTGTGTGCGTGAGCGCGCGCGCGCGCGCGCGTGTGTGTGTGTGCATGCAGGCGTCATAAAATAATTAACTGTGTAACGTCAAAAAAGTATGCTTAAATATCAGATTTCATGCAGCTCAAACTCTCTCCCGGAAGACGAAGCTGTCCCTGTCCGGTGCGTTGACAAACCTGTTCTCCATCTTCATGTCTTCTCCGGACCAGCCCACGTGGAAGCTCTGAACAATCTGTTTGTCAAATAAACAAAGCTGTAATGTTTATAAAGACTAAGCTTTAACTTCCAACACTTTCTTAGATTACAGAATTGGGACTTACCCCAAATTTTCGGTTGATTCCATCAACCTTGTTCACGGAATGGACCCGTCTACTCTTGGAACGTGACGTCAGAGACACGTGACTGTAGTAGCGGGTCATACGTACCAGATAACTTGTGTCGCCCCCGTCTCTATTCAGGGTAGGTCTGCATGTGAGCTCTTATGTAGACGTCTTTCACTCCTCTTGCAAAGAAGTCTGATTCAGAATCACGTTCCAAGAGTAAACGGTTCCATTCCGTGAACAAGGTTGATGGAGTCAACCGAAAATTTGGGGTTGGTCCCAATTCTGCAATCTAAGTGTTGGAAGTTAAAGCTTAGTCTTTATTTCATAATGATTTGTACCAACACACATGCAAAGCTGTAATGTAATGTCATACGAAGAAGAAGCACAAAGCACGTTACCGAAAGCGAGTTTCCACAAGAATAGCTGATAGCAAGCAACAGATTAAAAAAGAATAGAACTGAAATGTTAACTTTTGTACTGACAGTACGTTCTGAAATTCATAGGAGAACATGAAAAGAGAATGAGACAGAACTTGAGCACAAGTTACAGCTTTAAGGTTTAACCCCTCATGGACTTATCAATCTGATATATACGCCAAAAAGCAGTGACTCAAGCAACTGGATATGGTTTTGAAAACGTTAGACGTTTCAGTTAGTATCCACTAGCTTTCGTCAGTGACTGAGAGACCAGAGGGGAAAACAGGTTTTAAGCTCCTGTTCTGTATAACAGGAGCTTAAACTGGAGGATTCGGTGCCCAGGGCGACGCAATAAGGAAGTACTCCCCACTGTGGCTTCTCCAGCAGCTTGAATAGTGAATTGACCCCCATAACCACATAAACTAATAAACATCCTAGACGGTCCAGCCACCGAAAACAATGGCAGGGACAGATTAGCATAATAACTGTCACTCTTTTTGAACAAATTCAAATGTTTTTTCTATACTGGTTTTCAAACTAACAATATCAAACCATGCAGAATGATCGGGATAGCTGTAACTGAGTCACATAAATCAAGAAAATACTATCTGCAACTTTCAGTTTCTGGAAAACCAACTTTGTGGTCAAATTTCAATTTTTCAAACTGTCTTGTCAACATTTCATCAAAGCCTCTAATTACAGATATCTAAAATGGCAACCTCACAACTGAATTAGCTTGGATAGTAAGTGAGTCTAGAAATATGGGTTGCAATTGTGGTGTCAATTTGGTAGTATGAGAAAGCAGCACTAGTATACATGTAGACTGGATCTCTGTTAGAACTGTTCAAGTAACTGCCGGCCAATCTATAACACCACCAAACCTTGGCAAAACAGTACAGTGGTGTAATTACTATATTCTGGGTAAGGTGAGGCTATCTTCTTTCTGTAAAACAGACTGTACATGTACATAAATTCCTTATCTGTCTTCAATATGTTACAAACACAAAGTGTCTTCAAGAGCCCTGTGCCCATGTTACCACCACGGTAGTCAGGGACAGAATGGGGCCTGGTAGTTTACGTTAGCCGAATTTATTGGGTTCTTATATAGTGCAAGCCTGCTCTTTAAGCTCCTGTTCTGTGTAACAGGAGCTTTCTGACTAATTTGCATTATCTTGTCTTGACTTGTCTGACTTTTGTTCCTTTTTCGACTTCCAAAAATTTGTCTTCAACTTATTTGCATATCAATCAATAGGTTGTGCTTATAAACCTGCATTTCCCCTCTGGTCTCTCAGTCACTGACGAAAGCTAGTGGATACTAGCTGAAACGTCTGACGTTTTCAAAATCATATCCAGTTGCTTGAGTAACTGTTTTTTGGCGTATCGTATTGCCTGGATGTCTAACCTTCATCGACGAATCTGATATATAGTTTCAATGCATTTTAACCCTTCATTCACAAAGGAACCTACCCTGATCAACCCAAGATGCAGTTCTTGTTCTGCAAAACGCCGACCTGAGGAAGAAGTCAAACCAAATTCCAATTTAAATCTTTAAGAACAAGCATAAACATACTTACTGAATCACAAAGATAATCCATGACATTTATAATACATGTAAATGGTGACTGAATTGTTTAAGTCGATTAAAATCCATACCGATGCACATCCTCTTTCCGTATCCAAACGGCAGCATCGCGAACGGTGGTATGCCGCCGGATGCAACGTCATTGCGGAGCCATCTTTCCGGTTTGAACTTTTCCGGTTCTGGATAGTATTCCGGAAGTGAGCTGATGACGTCATTGGCCATCATGATCGTTGTCTATGTAGTGGAGCATACAACATGTCATTGGCAAGACGTTTGGTTTAGAAATGACAGAACATTATTTATATTTTTTTATTTAGTGTTTTGTTTTGTTACCTTTTAAGCTTGTACAGAGGCTTTGTTTTCAGTGTGGTTTGTCTCTTGATCTCCGAAAAGGCTAATCTTCCAGGGTTCAACCAAAAAACATACATAAAACAAATCAGAAAGTAAAAACACACACATATGCACAAAAAAAGATTTAAACTATATACAAACAACGGTTGTGGGGTTGTGTGGCGCAACGGCAGCGTGCGCGACTCGGAATCAAGAGGTCCACGGTTCGAGTCCTGACATGCCATCGCTCTTGTGCCCTTGGGAAAGGCACTTTACACGACTTTTCCCACTAGACTCAAGTAAAAATGAGTGTTGTCTGTCCAGTATCCATTTCTATCTGCGGGACACAACACCAGCAACAGCTGCCTCTGTTCCACGTGTATTGCATTGTTGCAATTTCAATAGAATAAATAAATGAATAAAATAAAATAAACAATGGAACAAATGTCTCATACCTTTGCTGGAACGACATATCCAGACAACACAATGTCCCGGTCCAACGTCCTCAGGTTGTTGCCAACAGTTGGATAAACTCTAAAAAAAGGGAAAACTAGAAAGGTAACATTTACAAAACAAACACATAATGTTTATTTTCCTTTTTTCACGAAAATGAATTTATGCCTCCCTTCCCGGCCGTTATATTATAAATAAACTGATCCATCACTGACAACGACTCTAATCTTGGTGGGAATACCAGTAACCTTTATTAACTGGCACAAACAATCAAACGAGCATGATAAAAGTAACAGTCAGCGTCGACATTAGTCAACAGTAGAATAAGTAGACAAATCTTGTCTCAGAGAAGTTTAAACATTGTAACATATCTAGCAAAAAATTGATTGAGGATGTATTCCACCCGGCAAAGGAGCAATTCGCGACCGAACGAACTAAACGATTCCCACCAAGCGAGCCGATAGGCGACAACGGCCGGGAGGATAAATGTGCACGAACTTATCAAGAAGTAGACTGCCTTCTTGTATAACTTTGGTATAACGCGCTGATTTGGTCACTTCGGTCGGAAGACGCGTGGATACTGTATCCCTGTCCGGGCTTAACTAAATCATATTTGGGCGTTCCGTCCGGCCTAAATTCGAATTTTCACAATTGCCATGGTGACAGCCATCTTGTCCAGGTCATCAACCTAATCTGTTTGGAAAGGAAGAAGAAATTGAGCAAAAGAAACGTTTCTTTCTGCGAAGGTAAACACCTTAATATATACACCTTAAAAACGAAAAGAGTGAACCCAGGGTCCACATACAATGAAATACTCCCCACTGTGGCTCTTCCAGCAGCTTGAATAGTGAATTGACCCCCATAAACACATAAACATCCCAGGCTGTCTAGTCTCTAGAAACAATGACAGGGACAGATTAGCATAATACCGGTCGATCGGATTCAAATATTTTTTCCTTGCTGGTTTTCAAGGTAACATCACAAAAAGTATGTAGAATGATCAAGATAATTGTACCTAAGTCAAGTAATCAAGAAATTAACTATCAACAGCTTCCAGTCTCTGGGAAATCAACCCTGTGTTCAATTTTAACTTTATAAAAGGCCCTATCAGAAATGTCTATTAGTAGATACAGTATTTATATTTGTAATTTGAAAATGTCTTCCTCACAGCTGAATTTGCACTGACAGTCAGGGTGTCTAGAAACATGTCTTCTAATTGTGGTGTCCATTTGGTAGTCTAAGAAAACAGTATACATGTAGAGACTAGAGTGAAGCTCTGTTACATTGTAGAACTGTACAAGTAACTGCAGGCCAATGTCTAACCAAGGCTCTGACATTACTACTAGTACTAGGCAGAGTTTAACCAGCCAGTGTTGTCATTACATTCTGGATTTGGTGAGACTAACTTCTTACAACAGTACTTCAATTCCTTATCTGTTGTTTATTCATTTTTTAGAATGTCTTGAAACTTGTCTTGGTCATTCACAGTCTTAGCCAGGTCTCTGCCCATGTTACCACCACGGTAGTCAGAGGTAGACTGCGGCCCGGTAGTTTATGTTAGCCGAATTTATTTGGTGATTTTATAGTACAAGCATGGTCTTTAAATAAAATATTACCTGAAAGTTTCCTTCACCACAGCACGCAGGTAGTGCATCCTGTTCAGTGTCTTGTCGTCTATGGACTTCCCAGGCGGAACCACCTCTGCGATCTCACGGTAAAGTTTCTCCTGGACTTCGGGATTTTTCGCCAGGCAGAAGAGGTTGAACATCAAGGTATTTCCCGTCTGAAATAAGTAGATAATCAAATACATGATAAACAAATCAAGGGATCAAGTACAATAGCAACTAGCAAATAGCAACTAAAAATAGTGGTTCCCCAATGGTTGAATAATAAGACAAAGAATAGATGAGACAAGATGAGATGAGAAAGAAAAGTCTGTAAACTACCGGGTGATTATATGATTATGAGAATGGTCCAGCATGACACTAAAACGTTAAAAAGTACAGAAAATTGAAAAGCGTACAGAAAACTGGTTGTCAGATTGTTTAACGTTTGTCAAATAGTTAGATTAGGTAAATTAATAATATGATGATAGAGGACAGAAGACTCCAACCAGCCCGCAAACTATCCGGCTGGGCCCCGGGTGGCATCTCTGTTAGGGTAACGTACCGTGTCGATCCCAGCAGCCAAAAGGTCCACCGCCATCAGCATTGCCTCCTCGAACGTGACGTCTTCTCTAGAGAGCAGGCTCTGGAGAAAGTCCGTGTCGGACTCAGCAGGTTTCCCTTCTTCGGTCGTGCTTCTAGCCAGCTTTTCCTTCAGCAACTTGGCAGCGACACTGAGGTTTCATGCCAATTCAAGCAACAAATTAGAGTCTTGCTTTGATAGCATGCCCAGACATCCTCACTACTCTCAAGGCCACGGACACCATGTGACTCACCTTACCAGACTCAGGCTTGGTTTCAGCCAGCTGAACTACCAGCATCACTGTATCAGTAGTCCCGAATGCAAATGTGGGCATCCAAATGAGACACCAGAACACTATTTATTACACTGCAAATTTTATAATACTGAATGGACCAAAATGTTGTTATCCATATCTTGCCTTTATCTTGAAAACATACTACCTTCCGACCCACTCAACGTAAACGACGCCACATTATGTACTTTACTTCTTACAGGTAGCCCCTCCCTCCCATACCCTACCAACTGCCGTATCTTTGATATTATATCCACCACTCTGGAAGATTTGACCAATCTCAATAATGTTATGCTAGGTATTGGTGCGCCAGCCACTTTCATTTTATGTTAATGCTATACTTTATGTCATCTTTATGTTTACATTTGTATTATGTTTTATGAGCAGCGGATTTACATAAGCACAACAAGTGCTTCCTATCCAATGCTCAAAAATCCATGTGAATAAAATAAAATAAATATGACCATAATTAATGCATTTGGACAAGTAACAGCCACAGAAGTAGTGTGTGTCACCAATATCAATAGACAAGTTCATAAAACTGGGCTGAAACAGAAGATGAAGACCTTGAATGCATTAAAACTACTAGTAATCTCCAAGCAGATTTTTCAGTGGCCACGGAGACTGTTACAGTATCAAATTGGCCATAACGTATCGATTAGCCACCAGAGATTTGCCAGTCTCACACAGTGAGGTCAATGGTTACTGTCTGGCCAATTTGATACTGTCTTTGTAGCCATCGAAAGATCTGCTTGAATTTATTTTCCTGAGGGTTCTCATTAATTTGTCATTGTTTCTACTGTTTATTGTCTGCCGGTTTTATGAATCAGTTCTGTTGTCATACATGTACGTCATTAATTTTCTTGTGCCATGATTTTGTTTTTCTAATGAAATGAATAAAAACAAGAAGCCATAGGTGACAATTCTCCGTGAAGTATTATATATTGCAACAAAAAGAAGTAGCCATTGGCGACAATTCTCTGTGAAGTGTGATAAATCGAACAAAGAAAAATTGTTTAAACGCGCGTCGGCTCAGTCATCTTAAGACGCAACAACCAATCAAAGATCCGAAATGCCGACACGTGACGCGGGATTTGCATACAGTCTAAACAACGGGGAAGGGCGCGCGATGCCCGAAATATTTTTGCGTAAATATTCAGCGCCGTGTTTCAAGAGAATAATACCGGGAAACAAATTCTTTTCTTGTTTTGAACGCATAAACATGCATTTACGCTAATCTAGTATGATTCAGGGTTACTTTTTTTACCTGCCATGGCCAGATTATCTAAAGATGTGTGTATTGTGTGTACAATCTACAGAAAGAGAAATGTACATCAGGTCCGATCATCCGATTTTCACGTTTCGTTTTTTTGGTACTCGGTTCATGAACGTATTTTGGTTTGGCTCCTGGAATGTGCGAAAAAAATGACTCCCGGGACTGTCTACAGGGAACACTCGCACATTCGCGGTGTATCAGGACAGCGCGACTGGTCGGCATTAGCGCAGTCCCTGTAATTAGTAACAGTTGCACATCAATCCGGCCGAAAGCATGATTGTGTAACACAGGCTACTTCTTCATATACCGGCTCATACTACACGACGCCTTTACAACTAGCAAATCATAAAATTACCCGATCTACTAGTACTGTATGTGCGGTTTACCAGCCCCAGACCACATCCGACCACGAGGCAGAACACATTGATGGGTTGTCAAAATATTGTCCATGTTTACAAAGAGCTGCTCCACTAACACTATGGAGCGGCCCAACCCAAAAATATTGGCCATGTGTCGTTGCTAGGACGACCGGCCAGTTGCTACGTGACCAAATACACGCCGCCACTAGGTCGCCACACCCGACCAGTTTGAAATCGATAGGATTACGTCATCGGGTATTAACATTTCCTAATGTTGACCTCTGACCACCCCACATTTCCGTCCCCATCAGCCCCGCCGCGACTTACTACCGGTGACATAAACGGACGACAACATTTCAACGACATGGGGATGTTTCGAAAATAACCATTTACTCCAATATCAAAACAGCTACGGTAAAATAAAAGACGTGCATCATCCCGGACATAATGCAACACCACATGCGAAATTACACAAAAATGCGACGTACGGAAGAATGCGTTTTGGCTGCGAACATCTTCCAAAAAACTTGGCATCTCTTAACCATGGGCAAAAACATCTGGAACCACTTATAAAAACCACCCCGTATCTGCATGAACTTTTACCCCCCCCCACTGCTATTCCAACAACGCGTTTTTCTGGACCATTCCAATTCGCCTCGTAATTGTAGGGGTGCGTCTGCGATATTACATTGACCGCGAAAGCAGCAACGGCAAAAATACACATTCGTGCATCAACACGGGCATGCCCGCAGACGGCGTATAAAATTGCGTGCCGATTACACAAAGAGAAGCCAGTGTTTTGACTGCGAACATGAAAAATCAGCCGATTACAACACTCCGTCCGGAGGTCCTGACCTCCTTCACGGAGTAAAAATGAATTCGAAACTTAAAAAAAAAAAAATCTACTTAGATGTAAACTTACTAGTGCCACTGGTTGATTGCCTTCTCAAACCTCCTCCAGGTTGGGGTGCTGATGTACCTGTAAAGGCCGACTGCCGCGAGCTCCAGGTTCACGAACGCTTTGAAGAAATTGTTGACTCCGTCGATCATCAGCTGAGCGTCAGAACCCGGTTCAAGGTCGTCCAAGGTCAGGCAGCCGAGCCGTTTGTCCAGCACAACCACACTGATTGCTAGGTGGGCAAGATTTGATTTTAAGGAGAATATTTTTAAAGCGATCAATTTTATCAAACAGTTTGGAATGCTCCAAATGCAAGGTCTTCCAAAGTTTAACCCGTCCTTAATGGTCTTCTTCAAGCTGACCGGCCTGATTTAATACTAGTATTCAGAACAAGCGTACGTAATGAGCTTTCGTCACAACATATGAACATAGTGAAAGGAATACAGGGGCAATCAAACTTACAAGCGAAAGCTGAAATGGGGAAATGCCTAACACAAATACATGAGATCCTTGACTAATATAGGGTACCAAAGTCAGCTTCTAGCACTCGAAATAAATGATTGTACCATTTTTACTCATCCCTAAGGCCATGTTGATTTCATTATATGGATGACATCCTCGCGCGCATGAATTTTCGGCCGTTTCCAAAAAAAAAGTTTTCAACCATTCTGTAAATCGTTCAAAACAGTTGCAAAATGAGCAAAAATATACCGTAAGTTACAAAAAAAACCATACCAATGTCGTAGAATGCCAAAATCAAACGAAAAAAGACGAAATTGTAAAGAAATGAACTTGAAGACTAGATTATTCATCAAACCATATTCTGTCCTATTTGTTCCACCCTCATGACCACTTAGATTTCATAATGAAAACAACTTTTTTTTTTTTGCAAAACTTTTTTTTATTCGCACGCGCGCATCAATCTTGGGGTTCCCAGAGGATGTCATCCATATAATCAAATCAACATGGCCTAACACAATTACAATACACTTTGCAGGGTGCAAGGTGGTGAACGAAGGCTCTTGAAACTTAGACCGTAGGGTTAATGTTACTCACCCTCCAGTGCCCATCTGTACACGTAGTTGGTAAAGTTGTGAATTTGCCCGCCGTTCTCCTCCTTCCCTGTCAGAGCCCGGATGACGTCAACCAGGTCCCTGGTGACGTCATCCGGCAGAGCGGCGTACGCGCCGACCGTCTTCGGCCGCATCAGGTCCTTCTGCACCGAGCTGCGCACGCGCTGCCACTCTTCACCGACTCTATGGAATAGAGGCAACTACAGTGCACACCTGATCTAATTTTTCCTTCTAAAATTAAATCATTTTATACACTGTATTATTCAAGGTAATTAAATAAGATAATCGATAATAAATAATCAATGACAGTCAAAACATGATCACACAAGAACAGACAAGCACACGCATAATTCATAAATTTACACACACAGAAACCCACAGACACATACCTACACCCACACACACACACACACACACATGCGGACAGAAATGCACAGTCTTTAACACAGACACACAGACACACACACAAACACACACACACATACACACATGCACACACACGCACGCACACACACACACGCACACACACACACGCACTAACACACACGCGCGTGCACGCACACACGCGCACACACACAGACACGCGCGCACGCACGCACAAACACACACACACACACACACACGCACAAACACACACACACACGCAGACACACAGACAATCTCTGAGATATACAGTACAAGCATATTAAGTACAAAACGGTATCACTACAGATACACTTATATACCTACAGGTTCACTATTCCAGCCGGCAGCTTCTTCAGTTCGCGATAGATTTCAACGCTGAGAAGCGGCTGCCTTTCAGGGTATCTGCCCTCGTTACGGAACAACCTCTCGATCTCCTTGGGATCGCTGATGACAACGAGGTCCATCGGGCCGATTTTTTCCCGATAGATGTTCCCGTAGGTCTTCGTCCTCTCTTTGAATGACTCCATCAGCTTTGTTTTCATTGGAAACTGACCTGATAGGAAAATACACAATTTCATGATAGTTAATGACAATTAAACTGTTCTCAAAGTAAAGGAATTTGACTCACCGGAATTTTCGACCGAATCTCTCGGTCTTCATCAGCTTCCTGATGACCCGAGTGCTGTTGGTACGTGTTTTTCCCTCACGAGTGATGTCAGCAGTGGGTCGGGACGGGGGGCACTACCGACTTCCGACGAACTTTGACCCAGTGCTGACGTCACATATGAGAGAAAAAATATGTGTCTACAGCACCTGGGTCAGAGAGCTGTCGAAGACTATTATCATAATTTTATGTAACTCGTACAAACTTACTACTAGTAATAGATGGACATTATTGCTTAATACAATTTCATGATGATTGGCAGTATTTTTATGATAACAAAATCAGCAACATGCATGTACAAACTCTTGCTGTTCAGCTGGAAGAGACGGCCATCGCCCCTCAATCCGGTATCTTCAAAGAAACTCACAGGTAACATAACAACCTGGGTATCAGCTTACATGCATTGTAATTGTTGTACTTTGAACGTCGGACAGTGAACCTACCACATATCGATATTTATAAGCCGTGGTGCCTCAATTTCACCTTGTAGACTACTGTGCACACGTTGGCAACAGTCTGTCCCCAGAGGCAGTAGTTCCACGCAAAGATGCCCCATTATTATTAGACATATAACCTTCTTAGTGTTAACAATAACACGTAGGCTGGTTACTCAACTTAACTGTGCATTCATCCCAAGTATGTTACAACAAATAAGCTTAAAACACACAATGGCCTTAGAAGGGCCTCCCAAACCAAATCTACAAGCAGATCCTAGGGTGGCAAAGGAAAGTATCAAATGGCATGGCCAAGCAGTATCCATTCGCCAGAGAGAGTCCAATTTGCTTCCCTTGGACCCTCTCTGGCCAATGGGTACTGCCTGGCCAATTTGATACGTTCCTGTGCCACCCTAGGATCTGCTTGGAGATTATCCTTCACCAACATATATCATCATGGCATACCGAAAGGAGAGTAGTCCAACGCCGTCCCGATGACGGGGAGCGGGGAGGCCCTTCGGCCCTGGGATCTCTTCGAAAGGCCGAGCGGAACTCTCGTACGCGACGCTGCCTTCCGGTTCTGCCCTGGTGCTCTGCGAACGGACGGTCGCTGTAGTAGTTACCTTCGCCAAGAAGGTTATGTTTTCAGGGGCGTTCGTGTATGTGTGTGTGTGTCTGTCTGTCTGTCTGTCTGTCAACACGATAACTTGAGAAGGTCTTGATGGATTGTCTTGATACTTGGTAGGTGGGTAGGTCTTGATGAGACCTCAAAATGATTAGATTTTGGGCCACCTGGCGGCTTGTCATGGTACTGCAGCAGAACTTCCGGTTTTGATATCTCAAGATCCAGACATGCTAGGGTGACGAAATTTAGATGGTAGATAGCTCTTATGCTGGGGATAAAGTGACATGAGTTTGAGCCCCCTAGTTGCTTGCTCTAGAACTGCAGGGGGGGGGTTTAATGGACAAATGTTTAAAGGGGGATAACTCAAGAACCGATGGATGGATCATCGTGATTTTTGGTATGTAGGTAGCTTGAGTGATGCTTGACATAATGATATTACAATTATGCAAATATGGATGTAATTTGCATAATTAATGAGGAAATTCTATTTATCAGCTGCATTCCATAATAGGAAGTTCAAGCTTGTGACATATGTTATTAAGAATGAGAGAAACACAGGCAGATATCGATTATGCAAATGAAGACTTAATTTGCATAATTAATGAGAAAATATTATAATTGCATAGTGGTAACTGCCTGGAATTTTATACTTGGGGTGTTTGAAAGTTAAGTTAAGGTGAACATAATTAAACATAACTTATTCAAATAAGCACCTCATTTGCATAATTTATGAGAAAATTTCATCATGGCATTCATTGTTAAGATAAGACTGTCTTTTGGTGGAGAATATGATCAACAGATATAATTCATGCAAATGAGGATCTTATTTGCATAATTAGGGGGATTAATATATAATTTCTTAATCATAAAAGCTAACATCATTTGGCGAAGGTATGAGATCGTGGAACTCTAGTTGTTGTTGTTGTTGTTGTTCTCCGAGCCACCGAAATTCCATCGCGGAACCAACTGCCCTGCCTTCTGACAACTTTCAGGAGCAAAGACATCTCATAAAGGTGGTGTAAGGTTAAATTAGACCCAACAGGTGTCAAAGGATCAATGAAGCTGGCCTACAACTTTCTTGAGGTTTTCTTCAGTAAGAAAAGGTCTGAGGAGCTTGTCACAGTTTCCAGATGTGAAAGGGCCTCCGCCACAAAGAGTGGTGGGTCATCGTCCACCCGGACGATAATCTTTAATTCAGGTCATCCAGTCATCCCAAGGCAAGGCTAGGGTTAAACCATTGTTCACTTAGGTAGGTGTGGCAACTTTTGCCTAATACCATTTATGATTTGTATGTTAGGCCATGTTGATTTGATTATATGGATGACATCCTCTGGGAACCCCAAAACTGATGCGCGCGTGCGAATAAAAAAAAAGTATTGCAAAAAAAGTTGCTTTCACTATGAAATCTACGTGGTCATGAAGGTTGAACAAATGGCACAGAACATGTAATGGCGAATAATCTACTCTTCGAATTTATTTCTTTACATTTTTGTCTTTTTTCCTTTGATTTTGGCATTCTACGACATTGGTATCGTTTCTAAATGTTTTCCTTGCAACTTATGGTATATTTTTGCTCATTTAGCAACTGTTTTGCACGATTTACAGTATGGTTGAAAACGTTTTTTTTTGGAAACGACCGAAAATTCATGCGCGCGCGGATGTCATCCATATAATCAAATCAACATGGCCTTATCGTAAAAAAAACTCCAGTATTGTCCAGAGGGGTATATTTTTTACCGATTTTTAAAAATATATTGCTGTGTAGATGAATGGTCACATATTGTATTAACTAAAATCAATACCTTCTAAATTGGACTGAACTATAATATTTTTCTTTTATCTAAATGTTATTTGGCCAATTACTCGAACCTGGAACACTATAACTCAATGGGTAGTTTGTAGATTTTCATTTTATTTGGCAGTATTGTGCTGGTATTTGAAGGCTATTCCTCATATGGGTTTACGGAAAACCCTGGGCTGTCTACCTTGCCAGGCTACCTTACCAGTCTACCTTGCCTGTCTAGGACGTCAGGCTACTGAACTCCCCCCATCCACAGCCTCACGAATGGCAAGACTTCCAA